CATCTGGACAAGGGCTACAAGAATATGCAATAAAAAATAGGGGGTTCCATTTAAGAAAACATCGATCACATTGACCTGGCTTTGAAAAGGTCACTTAAGGTCAAGTCCATATTTTCATCATGTGGCTCCCTTCAAACCATGCAACTTTTGTCTGAAACATTTTTTCATCTGATCACTTCTCTAGTTTTTAAATGGGTGATACGGGCGCTCTGTTACAGCCTGTATATATACAATATATTTTTATATATATACAGGGTGACCCGCAATAACCGCCCACTAAGTACATAGCGTTATTCCTTATCAAAAACTGAGTCGAAAAATCCTGAACCATTTTTTTACAACGCTTAATAAAGAAGTTATTATTGAGTGAAGTCTGGCCAATCAGCGCCGACTTTTAGCCGGGCGTACGTCGGTAAGCTGCGCGCCTGGTAGTGTGTGTGAGTGCTCCGCCGCTATGGCGGCGCGGCGACATTTTTCCTTTGCGCATGCCGCTATCATGCAATATTTTTACGCATCGTAATAATAGAAATAATTTTTTCTTGTATTAAAAATTATGTTCATATAAAATATAACTCAAAAAATACTTAATGAAAAAATACTTTGTTATAATGTTTTGAAAAGGTCTCAAGAAGGACTATAAGAATATGCGATAAAAAATAAGAATTTCCATTAAAAAAATAAAGTTGGCTTTGAAATAACCTTGAAAACCGTCACCTACAAATATTCCTATAACATTAACTTATGTCCCCCTTGAAATACTGCAACTTTTATTTGAAACATTTTTCTCTGGAAACAATATTTCTGGAGATAAAAATTGGTCACGTTTTATTTTATCCACCCTGTAAAAATACTGTAAAAAAAAATTATTTCTATTATTCAAATACATAAGAATATTCTATGCTAGCGGCGAAGCGTTCACATATACTACCAGGAGCGCGGCTCACTGCACTCGGCTAAAAATCGGCGCTGCTTGGCCCAACTTTATTTAATAATAACTCCTTTATTAAGCGTTATAAAAAAAATGGTTCAGGACTTTTCGTCTCAGTTTTTGGTAAGAAATAACGCTATGTACTTAATGGGCGGTTATTGCGGGTCACCCTGTGTATATACATATATGCGTGTGCGTGTCGGTGTGCGTCTGCGTGTGAGTCTGCGTGTGCGCGCGCGTGTGTGTGTGTGCATGCATGCACGGGCATGTGCGTGCGTGCGTGCGTACGTATGTATATGTGTATATATTTATATACAGGGTGGTCCTCGTAACGGTCGGTTTGGTCAATTTTTATTATTGCAATTTGTTGTCGGTTAGAAACTGTTAAATTTCTGATTATGACTTTTTTATGTCAGGTTATTGTAAGTGCCTTAAAAATCGTGGCGACCGTTACGAGGATCACCCTGTATATGTATGTATATTTATTTATTTATTTATTTCTACATATAACAAAAACTCTATACATCCCCGTTTTAACATGTACATGACTTTTTTTACATTACAAGATTTGTTAATACGATCGAAACTTGTCATACAATACCATTTCTAATGGACCTCGTAGGAATAGTGATTGCACTAAGTCTTTCTTTAATACAGGTATGTTGATAGAGAGAGAGCAAAAATATATGTATAGCTTTACGTGTGATCGAATTGCTGAAACGTACTTTTTCAGATACTAACTATTTTCGAAAATATAGAACGAGCTTGCACCTCTATTAGTTTCATAATTGCAACATTGTGCTATCTGATCATACCTAATTACATGGGACAGAAAGTCACAGATATGAGCTCGAGCATATGTGAGAAAGTGTAAGCAATAATATATTGAAAAATATATCTAAAATGTACACACACATACACACACACACACACTCACACATAATGTAAAGAAATAGAGAAACAAAGAAAATATTAATATAATTAAACTACTAGAAAAATAAATATTAATTTTCTAGGAAATTTTTTACTTGACTTTTTAAAATTATTTGGAAATATTTAAGATAATATTTTAAATATATAACTAATATATATTCTAACAATAAGTAATATAATCTAATCTATCTCTATAAAGTTAAGATTTTGATAAAAAAAAGCAATGATATATTCCGTATAATTTTCACATTAACAATATTAATTTAATTAAATCAAATATTTCTTTTAATTTGTTACTTGAGAATTTTTCAATTCAACTGTCTTCACGATACAAAAGAATTATGATCCTGCAGATACAATTCTGCTTGGTACGATGCAGATGTTTCAGAGCAAAAATCATTATTGTTAATAATGAGCCGACGATTGCACCCGCTCATCTTGACTGCCTGCAAGTTTTATCCGATGTCTTTGCCGAGTTTTGAAATGGTAAGAAAATGATATTACGTATTCGATTTGTGTAAAATGCAACAATGACAAATAAAGAATATATGTCTTCTAAAGATACTTCAAATGGGGATCTCCTATTGCATGTTTATGAGACAAGTATGAGGATATTCGCTAACTATAATGTAAAGAACAAACGAGAATATTATGTAGAATATGCACTTCTTGTTTTAATATTATATAAAAAATATTTTATCAGAGAAAAAAAATATTAAAGCGATTTGCAGATAAAGCAATATGTATTTATGTGTATATATGTGTCAATTTGAATATAATATGTATAATAATTGAAATGAATTTGTAATATACTTTGACCAAACATTGTAAATTCTTTTTAGATAAATAGAACATTAGAATATATAAAGCGACGTTAAAAACAAATGTAACCTGTAAAGAATGCAGAGATAAGAGTTAACTGAATTATTATATGCTCTTTTAGATTAGATAGTAGATTAGATTCTTTATTTGTTCCTATGAGGGCTATAAAAAACAATCGTATCACAATTACATAAATAAAAAATTCAAAAATTATAATAAAATTAAACAAAACTAATAATTTAATCGCATTTAAACAAAATAACCGATCAAAATCAAATACTTAATCCTAAATACAATATATCCCTAATCGCAAATACGCACGCACCAACGCGCGCACGCACGCACGCGCGCACGCACACACACAATGTAATAATTTATAATAAATATAAAATAATTT